GAAAAATTTGAAATTAACCTTTTTTTTAATGATATAGTAAAAAATCTTTTTTTTATATAAAAATATATTTAATATCTTAAAAATAATTAAAATAATATTAAAAATACGAAACGCATTATGGCGTTTATTCTTCGCATTGACAAGCCTAAACTTGTGATTCTTGATTCTCGACCTCGACGTTTCGCAACGCATTACGCATTTTAGAACATTGCTCCTTAGTCACTAAATGTCAATATTCATTGTCATACCATGAAACCCTCTTCAAAATTAAATAGAATGAGATTGTCGTGATCTGACAGGACATATTTGGTGTTCAAGGTGATAAACATAATTGGCACACTTATGTCGACTCCTAAATGAAGGTTTCATGTTAGTATATCGAGCATTTGGTGTTGCTTATTATCGCTTTCGATTCATTTTCATATTGTAAGAATAAATCGCTGGGAGTGAATTTTAGCCACGTCACAACTTGATACAACATCACTACCAAATTCGAGTCGGGCATTTGAGTTAGGTTGGACTACTTCTATGGAGATGATCATACAAAGCACGTGGAAAATCCATCAACTTCTGTAAATAATTAAGAAATCTGCTAAATGTAAAGGGAGATTGTACAGATAGCATTAAGAGAGAGAGAGATGGCATTAATTCATTGGGGCTAGGACAAATTAATGGGCCGGGACAAAACAGCCAATACAGTTTGGCCACCTATTTCTCTGTCAAGCTCCCTATACTATCTTCCTGTACAAGGAAATTAATCACATAATTAATGAACAATCATGCTACACAAATAGATTCGATGAAGATTAAAAACAGCAAGACACGTGACACAATATTATTGGATAATTTGAAAAAAATATATAGAATCAAAAACAAAACTTTGCCACACAAACAGCACCTGTCCCTGTCCCTGCCCCTGTATGATTAGCTTTATTCATTAATGAATGTTGCTGCGGACACTAAGAGCCTATTTGACGCTCTTTAATTTATTTTATGATTTATTACATAATTATTTTTAACTACACATTCACAAAATAACATATTTTTCACGTAAACCAAAAACTTTCCCTACTTTTTAACCACACATTCTCCTAAAACACGATATTCAAAACTCTTTCTACCAAAATGATTGTCAATCAGGCACTAAAGTACAGGAACATAGAAAGATTTTCTAATCAGAATTCTCAAATCACTTTCCAATCTAATAAATGGGTTTGTTTTTACAAATTAATGAACAATTCTACACCTAATTGCCAGACGGCTCTTTCTTAAACGACCATCACCCCATACACTCCTTGGAGTAGTAACAAAACTGGGTGTGATAAGAAGTTACAGCAACAGCAGAACAATCGTTTCGAGATTGTCAATGCATTTACAAAGATGCACGATAAAGAAATACCATTACAAAAGTGTAGCACCCCAAAGTAGAACACCAAATACCACCAAGGTCGTGAAAGCACTGCTGCTACCAAAATATCGTGAATGACAGCCAGATACTGTAGAGTTTGAGGATGGAATGGGGAGGGTGTTATTCATAAAGGTGCCATTTCTTCCACCACTGCAAGAATGTAAAAACAGAACTTTTTCAGAGAACTTCACAGTAATTGAACTTAGAAATTGTGAAAAGATATCAGATCTGTTAAGTGATGGAATCCCACATCGAATAAAGATGTAAAAATAAACCAGCTTATAAAGGATTTGGTT